AATTTCTAAGCAAAAACATGTTTATCTATCTTATTAATTTCTCTGATTTAATTTAATGTCAAGCATTATCACGTTTCTAATAAGTTTCATACAACACAATCAGTCTTATAAACAGCTTAAATTTAGTCTTCATGTAAAGTTTCTAAAACTTCTTCATGTTGACATTCCAAATTCAAGCATTTCATACTAGAATTCAGGGGATTGTTCCAATTTTGGAACTGCAGACCAAGCTCTTATGGAAACTTGCGTGCTGTCACTTCTCTTTGTCCCTTACTGGAACTCTTAGTTTAAGTTCCTTGGGAAATTTGTTGTCATCTTCTTTGTTTCTTGTTGGAACTCGCAGTCCAAGCTAATCTTCTAAGCTTGCAGTCATGCTTCTATTAGGGATCTTAGGTTTGTTCTTTTTAGGTATTATCACTGCAGAAGTTCTTTACAGCTTCTTGTATGAGAACTTCCTTTTGCAACTCTTTTTCAAAATACTTGCTAGTCATCTTCAATCCTCTTGAGTAGAATTGTTCCAAGCTTGTCCTCTGATTTTACGTGTCCTACAAACACTTAAACACTAGAGGAGCTTATTTGTTGAAAGTTTGCTTGTCGTCATCAAAGACTTACAGGGTCAACAGTCTTAGTATAAAGAATTTAATTAAGTTCAACCATTCAATTTTATTTAATTATACTAAAATCTATTTAAGATAAGAAAAAGTAGTTTAAGTTTAGTAATTATTAGGTGAAGAGAACAAAGACTTAAACCCTGTTCTCTTCTCCTTATTATAATAATAAGATTCAGTTTAAATTCAATAAAAATAATTTTTAATCAATAAAAATAATAAGTAACATTAAAAAACAAATAACATACTACCTCTATTCTCTTGAGTTTTACTTAGTTACTGTAGCAATGAAATCAAGGAAAACTCAAAAGGGGACCACTCATGTAGATACTTTTTTGGCATTTAGGAAGAAAGAGATAGAAAGTATATATGATAATTTATAAAAATAAGTGGGTTACAAAAGTGGGATGGAAGATGATAAAATTAGAATAAATGGTCGACATAAATGGAATAAAGTAAAAGTTAGTAGAACTTAGAAAAACAAACTACCTTTAATTTGTTTTTGTTTTAGACCATTACCTATGACGGATTCTGTCAAAATTTTCTTTAATGGGGCTCACATTCAACGATTTCAAATCTAATTAACCTTAACTTATTTGGGAAAGGACTGACCCCCTTTCTAATCATAATAATCCAAAGTTGAGACTATGATGTCAAATTCAATAAAAAATTAATGGTGGGACAAAGCGCATATTCATTAGCCGATAAAACGAGTGACACATATTTGGTAGACAAGATACTTTTATTCTTTTACTCCTTATATACTTAAGATATTTTTCTTATAGATTTGTTTCCATTTGTTTGAAATACTTTCATATATGGCATAGTGTTGAAATAAATCCCACCAAATAAACACATGTAAGAGTTCCACATTGGTTGAACAAGAGAAAGTTAATCACTTTATAAGGCTAAGAGGTTACTCCTTGTATTGTCATATGGTTTTGGGATGTAACCTCCTTTGTACTCGTGAAGTGGACTCTCTCTCTCTTGATTTGCGGGTGCGTCCCAAACCCATATTTAACATGGTATCTAAGTCAGGCCCACGATTTGAGACCTTTAATGGCTGAGTATATTGCCAGCCTGTCAAACCCGTGGTTTGGGATCTTTAATGGCATTAAGTATTTCTGGGCCAAATTGAATTGGATCATGTGATCCTTGAGTTAAAGGGGACCTTACATGTGAGGGAGAGTGTTGAAGTATATCCCACCAAATAAAAACATGTAAGAGTCCCATATTAGTTGAATAAGAGAGAGTTAATCCCTTTATAAGGCTAAGGAGTTACTCCTCCTATTGCCATATGATTTTGGGATAGAACCTCCTTTGGACTTGTGAAGTAGAGTCTCTCTCTTGATTTGCGGGTGCGGCCCAGACCCATATTTAACACATAGACTCATTATTTTTCATCTCTTTTCACTTCAAAACACTACTTATTAACTATAATAATAAAATAATAAAGAAAATACTTTGCCACCAACTAAATATAATATGAAAAAACTCCACTACCACTTACTAGAATTATTATTAATTTTTTTTTATTTTAAAAAAACCTAGTATTAGTCTCTTCATACTTATCATACAATGAATAATAGTCAATTAATTTGCTAAAACCTTATGTCGATCAAAGTACATTATGTAAACAAGGATGACAATGAGAATACTTAATTAGCGTACAATATAGGTGAATTTATTTAAATCAACTGATTTGGACCGATCTCTTCTCCCATTTTTCCAATAGTGAACTACACATTGAATATTAAATTGAATATTGTATTGCAAAGCAACCTTTGTGGAACATTAGAGTGACAATTTCCGTCTTTTATGAGACGGTTTCATGTTAAAATTTGATACATATGTAGAATTTAAAATAATAGGCAATTTGTATTCTAGGAGAACATAATAATTTAATTAAGAATCCACTTAATAATAATTTGACAAGAGATCAATTATTCCTACCTGCAAGGATGTTTCTATTAGGGTCATCCTTAAAATGACCATGATTATTCTTAAATCTTATTGTTGAATTTTTCTTTTTCTTTTTTAAATGCTTGGTCGAACTTTTTTTTTTTTTTTTTTCCAAAAAATAATTTCTGATTTTCAAAAATCTTATATTTATTTTCATAATTTTTTTTATTTAAATCACCTTTTAATAAAGTAGAAAAATAAGATTAAATTAAAAAAAAAATTAAAATCTGATAATTCTTTCAAAAAAAACAAAATATATAAAATAAAATCTGATAATAAACGTCCTATGGCAAGTTCGTCTATGAAGGTTGATCTTGACAAATTGAAGTTCACCAGCTGCTAAATCTGAAAAAAATTTAAATCAAAATTTTTCTTCAATGATTTACATACCATCTGCGACCCACCCATCATCACCTACACCCCCTAAACTCATCGCCTACACTTACCATCACCACCGCCGTACTCGCCTCCAAACCCATCCCACCACCACGAACCCAGATTCCACGACAAAATTCACATCCACGAACCCAGAAACCCACAAAATGATAACCATCGCCATAAATCCAGAAGCCCACAAAAACTACGCCGCAAAACCCATGAAACCACCCCAACGCTCTTCGAAAACTGTTTCGACCCGTCGACACCCACCCTAATAACCCAGAAAGTCAGTTCCGGCCATGAACACCACCCTCACAAACCCACAAAACCCATGAAATCCCCCACAAAATTGACGGAAACCGCACCCTTATCAACCACCGTCGTTTAGAATATCAGGTCACGAAAACCCGGTCTTGTAAAATCAAGCACCGTCGGGTTGTTCATGGCCATATCTGACTTTCTGGGTTGTTTATGGTTAAATGAAGAACAATATTTTGATTTAAATACTTTTAGTTTAATTTTATTTTTCTACTTTATTAAAAAGTGATTTTAATAAAATAATTATGAAAATAAAAAAAAGATTTTCGAAAATCAGAAATTATTTTTTGTAAAAAAGAAAATAATTAAAAATAAAAAAGAGATTTAACCGTTATTTTTGTTTAAAAAAGAAAAAATCAATCAATAAGATTTAAGAATAGTAATGGTCATTTTAAGGGTGACAGTAAAAATTTTATAGATGGAAAGTTATTAATTGTACACATCAACAAACCAATTTGCCAAACTCACATGATTATTACACATTTACACTCTTCTTTATACTTAATTTGAAGTTTACGTGAAACAATTTCTTAAATAATTTGTTGAAGCTAAGGCAAGATTCTAAATTGAACAATGCATTAAAATCATAAAGGTTGAAGCATGTGAATTTCATTTCTTTCAAAGGACAGTTGAAGCTTATAGTTGCCTGATAAAACTCTCTCATCTATTTATGTGTGTACGTTTTTTCGAAAGAAAGTGCAAAATTATGCACAATATATTATTTGATAATTGATAGGTAGCTAAATTAGGAAAGCATAACCAAATGTTATCAAAATATCTATGTAACTAATTACCATGTTTGATTCCGTCATATTAAAGGATTCTAAGCATACTAATTTCCGTTTCATTTTCTGTCTAGGAAAACTACTATTCCATGTAGTAGATGCTGATTCAACATGCATGTTTTCAAGAGTCCATGCATCATGCATGTACTAGATTAATATCTTCAGTCTATAAATAACACGCCACGTTTCCGCTTCAGATCTTTCAAAAGTTATAGATGTCATTTCAAATTTAGTAATTCCATTGGATGTTGATATTTTCCGTATTTCTCTTGATTCTTAGGCGAAATTTCAAAGTAAAACTATATTAGCTTGGTACGGTAGAGTTACAAAAAACTAATATGGGAGAGTATGTAATCATAATGTGTTAACTCAAATCCTTAAAAGAGTTAGTATCTTTAATGAGACGAGAACTATAGTTCCTGGACTTTCTGCTTTTTGGACCAAGTGAACATTGAAAAAAAAAAAAAAAAAAACTTAAGAAAAATAATTAACAAACTTAAAGTTGATTATATGTTGTAACTTGTGGGTAACTAAGCATATACGGTATAACAAACTCAACTTTTGTGCACATATGAATATAATTAATGTGGTTAGTGGGGTGACTCAATTCCCTTTATAAATTGATCAAGTTCAATGATTTTATCAATTTTTTTTTTTAATTTATTTGTTATTTTTTTTTCATTTAATATGTCAAATTTCTAGCTCATAATTCCACTAAGTTATCATAATTCCTCTTGTTTTTCATTTACAACGTTTTTCCAACCAAAAAAACAAAAAAACACAAACAATAAAATAAAATGGTGGGAACTTGATTAGTAATTAATTAATTAGATAATCTTCAATTAATTAAATTAGTGGAATCCCTAGGATTCGAAAACTCGAAGCCGTGTAATATTTTTCTTAGACTTTCATATTTTCATGCACCCAAACTTTAAAGTTCCTATATTATAAATAGGTGCATATTTTGCATGGCTTAATGCCATTTACGTACTAGCTGAAATCACTAAGGAGAGAAAAGAGAAAAAATATATATAGTGATTTCACAACAATGGCATCTATGGCAAAGATTTGGAGTCGAGCTAGACCGTACGTAGCCGTCATCTTTATGCAATTTGGGATCGCCGGGCTAGCTATAATAGCTAAGTCTGCCCTTAACAATGGAATGAGTAATTACTCGTTCGTTGTTTATAGGCAAGCTGTTGCCGCCATTGTCATCTCTCCATTCGCCTTTGTACTCGAAAGGTACGTACGTGACTACGTACCATATGTTCGTGTTACACCTACTTCTAAAACTATATTATACTATGCTAGGAGAAAGAGTTGTAACTTATTGTGTGATTTCTTATGCAGGAAGGTAAGGCCGCAAATGACCCTCTCCATTTTCATCAAGATTCTAGGTCTTGGTTTGCTAGAGTAAGTATTTCTATACACTTTTTATTAGTAAATGGAAATCGATCATGAAGTATTTAAATTATTTCGTGGTCATAATAATATTTTGCAAGGAAGCTCTTTTGTACGTGGATCAATCAGCTAAGTAAGTACTCCCTCCGTTTCCTAACTTTCTCGTTAGAGAATAAGGAACTACATACCCCAAATGAAAAATGTTGAAAACACATGGTCGCTAGATAGAATTCCCTAGTGTATATGTAGTTTATTAAATCGGAATATTTTGGTGCAGGCCAGTAATTGATCAAAACCTCTACTATGCGGGGATGAAGTACACAACAGCTACATTTGTTAGTGCATTAAGCAACACCGTCCCAGCCCTAACGTTTCTACTAGCCTGGATTTTTAGGTACAAACACAACATGTATATTATATCTAAATTTTATATGTACGCTCTCCATATACTATGATATTATTAAACACAATGCATATTTTCAATAGGCTCGAAGTAGTGAATAAGAAAGTTCAAAGTTTAGCGAAGGTGGGTGGAACGATAGTGACGATTGGAGGTGCAACAATAATGACTCTTGTTAAAGGTCCAGGGCTTAAAATGCCATGGAATAACGGAAGTTACAATCATCATGTTGTTAAGACTGTTTATCATCAAGATCCTATTAAGGGTGCTCTTATGATCACTTCTGGTTGTATGGGTTGGGCAGGCTTTGTTATTCTACAAGTAAGCATCCATTTTTTATACTTCATGTATAATAATCACAAACCTGCTATAGGGATCACCGAATAATCCCAACTTAAAACAATCTTAATTATGTAACTAATTCGGATCATTGTTGACTCAAAATAAATCCGATTTAGGTTATATTCACAAACCCGCCATAGGAATATTCCAAACTTTAAAAGATTTTATTAAAATTCTAATTTTGGATTTGTGTTAACTCAAAATAATTCCTATTTCAAGCCGTTTTTAAATTAAAAAACAATTTTAAGTTAGTATGTTTGAACAATTATTATCTAGCTATTAGTTACTCCGTATAAAGAACATCCTCACTTTTACTACTAAACTTCGGATTATAGGTAGCAGTAAGAAAAACAATGGCATATGTTGCATATTTTTTTTTTTTTTTGGAAATTCTCATTGGTAGCCATCAAGTTTTGCTAATTACCTTTGGTAGCAAAAAACTTTTAAAATTATCTAGATTAGCCATATCATAATGTAACTTAATTAATTATGACATTATAGACCATTGTTAGCCACTTTTAAGACTAATAAGTAACTATGGTTAACCTATATACGGTTAATTTTCAATTTTTTTTTTAAAAAAAAAAAGTTACCATCATTACGTATTGTAAAAGTGATGAATGCTCTCAATACGTATCAACTCTCCTTCTCTCTCTCCCACTACAAAAACACTTTCATTTACTCATATTCAGAAACCATCCATCTCCACCATAATTCGAAATTCAAACACCATCTTTTACCTTTCAATTCTTCGACCTTAGAGCTAGAGTTCGAGATTAATTAATTCTGAATTTGCGACAAAGGTGGAGTAGAATTGGGGTTTTTTTTTCAACCATTGGAGTTTACAAAATTCTGGGTTGTGATTGGATTCGATGGACGAGTCTGGGTTGTGGTTGAATTTGCAAATAAAGATCCTATCTTTATTGCGTAAATATTATGTGCCCTAAGTTTTCAATTGAGTTAATTGTTTTCGTGTTCTTGAATTTAATGTGCTCTGTTTTGTGATGGCATATGATAGCTTTGAATTGTAATAACCTGACATACTTGATGTTATAATCTTTGGTAATCTTTCTTGCTGGTAAACTATGAGATGAAGCCATGAGAATGCGGAGTAGTATAAAAATGGCGGAGAAGATGAATGGGTTTTCTCTGATTTAGGGTTATATAAAGAAGGGAAAATGATTTTGGAGGAAAAAGGATTGTTATAGTTTGGAGGGAAAGTAATAAGTAAGGGTGTAATAGTAATTGTGTTAATTACACTTAAATTAACCATAGTTACTTATCAGTCTTAAAAGTGGCTTATAATGTTATAATTAATTAAGTTACAATATTATATGGCTAATTTAGATAATTTAAAAAGTTTTTGGCCACCAAAGATAATTAGCAAAACTTGTTGGCTACCAATGAGATTTTTATTTTTATTTTTTTAAACTAATTTAGGGAATAATATATTTCACATATATTTCATGTGGGTTTTTTATATGTTACATTACAAATTCTCACATGGGCTATTGTTTGTTATTGTGTTAGGCTATAACATTGAAATCATACCCAGCAGAGATGTCCCTAACGGCATTGATGTGTTTTGCGGGTGCAATAGAAGGTACTCTTGTAGCTTTTTTTGCCGAACGAAACACTTCCATTTGGGCACTTCATTGGGATTCCAAGTTATTTGCCTATATCTACAGTGTACGTAACATTTAATTTTACGTAAATTCTCACTTCCTGGTTTAGATTTAATTGTCACGGTGATAACATTTTTTGAACTAGCAATGTGATAACTTTATCTAGTATGTATACATAATTAGGGCATTGAAATGATGAGTTGTTTGCAATTTTATATATTTGCAGGGGGTTATTTGTTCAGGAATTGGATTTTATTTACAAGGGAAAATAATGAAGGAAAAAGGACCGGTTTTTGTGACCGCTTTTAATCCTTTAAGTATGGTTATCGTCGCCTTCCTTGGCTCCTTTGTTCTAGCTGAACAACTCACTTTGGGGAGGTATTGATTTTTTATATTTATTTTATTTTTGTAAGTATAACAAACAAAAGTTAATGGATTTTGACATTTTGTGCCAACAAAATTAATTTGTTTTGGAAAAGCATACAAGATAAAATTAAGTATAGAATATAGAATATTCTAGCAATGTCATCAATCATATGTTTAGTCTCATTTCAGGATATCCTAGTATACACTTCACTTTTTCTTATTACCAAAATAAACTTTATTAACGTTTCTATAATGCTCTTAATAATTGTGATATTTTAGTTCAATCATTGCCAAAAAAAAAAAACACACAATTTATTTAAAATTTTCAAATCTATATCTTTTATTAAGATACCTTAATTCTTTTGTGTATTTAATCTTGTAAGAATTTTCTTATTGCAGGATAGCCGGAGCAATTGTAATAGTTACGGGTTTGTACATAGTGATATGGGGGAAAAGCAAAGATGAAAAAGAAAAAGAGCAAATTTTACCAATTATTGAATCACCAGACTCCACAGTAAACACAATTAGAGATGATGCAAACGTTGGTTATGATCTCGGTATCATAAAAGAGACTCCTAATAATGAAGCTTAGAAGATGATTAAGACTCGCGGCATGACACCATAATTTTTGTGGTTTTTTTCCTTTCTTTATATGTTTGGTATACTTATATTTTTCTGTTTTTCGTAGTTTTCAGGACTATGTTATGTAACTAGTGATAAAAATTTTGTTAATCCATATCAATATTAAACTTATTTGCTCACATTCTCAATTACTAACTAAATGATATGCAACCCGTATATACACTTGGATACACCATATACTTTACTTTAGGTGTACTTAGAGTATTTTAGTACGGAGTAATAATTGACTCTCTCTCATAAACAATCTTGTGACATTTACGTTATTTATTCTCTAAGCTGGTATATTCATTTCTTTTTTTCAACGCTATCAAGCATATCATTGTCTTCGGCCACCGTTTATCATCAGTTTCTAAAGATCTCTTCCTTCTACAAAAATTTTTGGCTTGAAAATAACGACAAAGAAATTGAGTGAGACATTACTATTATGTTTTGCCAATTTTTACTTCAAATTGGATCCTTAATGACTATAATGATTCCTAAAATATTAATTGGGCAATTTTTCGACTCGAAAATTGAGAAATTATATATTGGGATATCATGTGCCTATTTCGTGTTGATCAACGTCAAATTTCAATGGTCAACTCCCACTTTCTGACTACAAGGTCCCTCCTTACAATAAAAATAGCTTATAAGGTCTTTTCGTGCCACTTTTAACATAAAAGGTCATTTTCACAAGAAAGTGAATATAAAAGTTCCTTTCTAAATATTTTCCATAATTTAATTAGGAAAGTCATGACTATCTCTTTTATATAAACCATGGCAGAGGGTTGTGGCCTGATGTCCCTTTGTGAAGACTAAAATACCTCTCTTCCTTTAGAAATAGAATAAAGACAATTTTAAAAAAAAAAAATTAAAAATTTTAATCAATTAACCAGAAAAATAGAAGGATCAATCAATCAGCAAAAAATTTAAACAAAAAAAATAACAATCAATTACTTAAATTACGTACAAAAATAAATATATAATTTTATTTTATTTATGTTCGTTAGTAAAATCAATCAAGTAATACACAAATAAAAATTTTCTATCGGATCCACTTAGTTAATTTATACAATCAAAATCATCACTAATGGAATGTAGTAGCTAATAGGGGTGAGCAAAGATCCAGGGTACTCGGTATCGGACCTGGAACCGGTTCAGACCCGGCGGGTCCAGACCCGGAACTGATCTCATCGGTTCCGAGACCGGGTCTAAAAATTCGGACCAGGTTGGAACCGGTTCCAAAACCGGGTCCTGAAAATTTGGACCCGGTACCTGGTGGGTACCCGGTTGTTTAATATGTTTAATTTTTTTTTTCTTTTTTTTTTTAAAAAAAAAAGTTCTTAATTTCTTAAGTTATTTCCCTCTAACCCTCTTCCTCCACTCTAACCCTCTTCTGCCACTCTCTTTCTCTCTCCTCCCTTTTCTCTTCCTCCAGATCTATCACATTGCCGTTAACCTCTTCCGTCGCCAATTTCTCTCTCCTATCCTCACCGTCAAACTACTTCACCATCTCCTCCACGCCATCAATCAGATTTCTCCATAGAAGAGGCTTCAAAGCTTTTTATTGAAGATGAATCACGCTTTCCTCTCGATTTCCCTATTTTATGTCTTTTCTCTAACTCTTAATATAGTCGATCAATTTTTAAATTTTGATTAACAAGAGTAGTCAGATTCTAGGGTTTATGTTTTCCAATTGAAATCATCATGAAACAATTGATTTGTTTTAATTGTTAGGAATTTTCCAATCAAGGTAAGTTGTTCTAATCCTGTAGTTTCGAACTAGGATGTTTACTTATTTGGGATTATTTCTATCATAATCTAAATAATTTCATTAGTTTTTGTTTTCCTTGAATTTAGAAGTGCTTTGGATGCTGAATCTGAGAGAATTTTGCAGGAAGCATTAGATAGAATAATGACTAACATTTTTAGGGAAGGTAATGCTGCAATTTGATTATTATACACTAACGTTTTTGATAGATTAATCCCTCTAATATTTTGCAAGCAAGGCCAATGAGGGTTGATTAGGGGGTTTTCCCCGCCTAATCAGTGTACGCCACGTGGACCAATCAGGTCCTTCCAAGTGCCCTCCATTTGGACCTCTCAGGGCCTGCCATGTGGCACACAACCATTTGTCCACCATGGACCAATCATGCCACGCCAAGTGGCCTGCTGTTTGCCACCTAGGAAAATGGCCACCTAGGCCCAGTTTCCGGGAAAAGCCCAATCAGCTCTAGGTTGACCTAAACCTAGGATTGGGCACGCTTCTCAAGGTTATAAATACATTAATTTATCCTCATTAAGGGGGATTTCAGCAATTGATTACCTTCACCTAGAGAAAACAAAAAACACTGATCACTCCTCCCCTTGAGAAACCAAATCTTTCACTATTTACCTTTCCGCACTTATTTACTCCTCAAACAAGTTCTAACTTGGCCGTCGGAGGCGGAGCTTCCACCATAAAGAGTCTCCGTTGGTTTGCAGGTACAGGCGCAAGGATACCAGTCCCGGAATTGTAACTCTCCCGCAGGACATCAGAAAACCCCGAAACATTTTGGCGCCGTCTGTGGGGAGAGTACTTTCGAGACGGCATCACAGTCTGTACCGAATCAAAGCGAGAAGCGTCCTATGGACGACCCTCAGGTTTATAGTGACCCGGATATTGACAATGAGGGCGAGGTCGAGACTCACATGGCCCCAGGCGGGACCTTAAGAGCTCGACAAACTCGTTCCTCCGAAAAGAAAGAACGACAGGATTGCCTGGCTGGATCTAGTAAACCTGCCGGCCCGCCGCTTGATCATCAACAGGCGGTCGAGGTATCTTCCCCCATCACTAGAAGTGAACTCATGACTTTCATGAATAATTTCAAAGGGGAGATCCAGGATCTCATCAAAACGAAGACGCCTGCTCCGTCCAAGGAGCAGTCGGCAAGAAGACCCTCCTAGTCTGGGAGGAAGAAGCTTGTAAAAGATCGTGAGGCGACCCCTTACCCAAAGCCTGGGGCAAGGCAGTCGCCAGTGATCGACCTAACGAAGTATCACTTTCCCTCACCAGGAAAGAGAAAGCCCATCCGTCTTATTCAACCGGATGGGTCAAAGAGAACATACTCTGATACTCGAACGTTGTTAGAGCAGAAGAAGAGTGATCGACTGTCAGAATCGGCCTCGACGTCTGATTTTCAAGACAGTTTACACAATACCTCCTTGAGGTATTCGAACTCAAATTATGAGAGCCAGACAGGCGGTACCTCCCATCGGTCCGGCTCCCAGAAAAACAAGGCGGCACCGCATGAGCTACCCGAGCCATACGTGCCACAACCTCAATATTTCATGCAGCCTACTCTGTTTGGAGTACAGGCGGCAAGAAACGTCCAGCCTTTGGACTGGCAACTTAGGTTGCTTAGACTTGGAGAACAGCCGTCCGCCTTCTCCAAGGAAATAATTGAGGCCGCCTAGCCGGCCAAAGTGAAGAATGTGTTGGTCGGAGCCTATGATGGCACTACAAACCCAGAGGATCATCTGATGGCGTTCACCAACCTTATGTACCTTCAAGGGTTGTATGATCCCACATGGTGTAAGTGCTTCCCAGCCACCTTAAAGGGCATTGCTCAACAATGGTTCGGCAACCTACCGACTGGTTGCGTAAACAATTTCAAGACCCTGGCCTACCTGTTTACCTCCAATTTTGCGATGAACATTCCTGCTAAGAAGATGACCCTTGACTTGGGGACAATACAGCAGGGAGAGAAGGAGGGACTCCGTTCCTACATCAGGCGGTTTAACCTGATGAGGATTCAGATACAAGGGCTGCCGGATGAGGTAGCCTATACTGATTTTTTCAGAGGACTTAAGGACGGGTCGACCTTCAAATTTGATATTGTCAGAAAAAGGGTGACCACCCTCCAAGAGGCCATGATGGAGGCGGATGCTTATATCCAGGCAACCGACCTCTTTAATACTGGGAAGCAGTCGGACAACAAGAGGCCCGACAAAAGAGAAAACTGACAAAAGCAGTCGGCCAATAAAGAAGAGAAAAAGAGAAAAGAAATATGGGCGGCCGACTCCTCTGAACAACCGTCCCAGAAAAAGAAGAAAGAATATAAACCATACTCTCCCAAGTATGAGTTCATCAAGGATAGCCACGCTATCCTCAATGAAATCAAGGGTCGGATCTCAATTGAGAAGCCGGCCGCCATGAAAGGTTCGGTTACCAACCGGAACCAAAGCAAGTTCTGCCATTTTCATGAAGACATTGGTCATGAAACCAATGAGTGTATAAGCCTCAAGCGCTTTCTGGACCGCCTCATAGAAAAGGGAGATCTTGACTCCTATGTCAAGAAGTCCAAGGGGAGTGCTCCTCCCAAACAGAAACAGGCGGCCAAGAAGAAGCACCGGTCGGCTGACAGTTCAGACACTGACGACGCCGTCGTCTATACTATAGCAGGCGGCTTCGCAGGAGGCGGCCCCACTATCAGGGGCAACAAAGACAACATCAGGAGGTTAGATGTTAATTCCTTCAACCAAGGACGGACCTCCAAGAGTTCATTCCCAGAAATTGTCATCATAGAGGAAGACTTGGGAGGTGTTAGGGGGCCGCATGACGACCCCATTGTTATTGAATGTAAAGTGGCCAACCAGAGAGTTGGCTGGATCCTCATAGACACCGGCAGTTCCTCTGATCTAATCAGCAACAAGTGCTTGGCAAAGCTCAAGTACAACCCTAACTACATAAATCCGGTATCTCACCCTTTAGTAGGGTTTGGAGGAAGCGTCGTACACCAAGTGGGACGGGTGGATCTACCTATCCGTCTGGGTGAGAAAGGGGAGGGCCGTCACATGGTGGTTCGTTTCTTAGTTGTTGAAGAGCTCTCGGCCTATAACATGATCTTAGGGCGACCCACCCTGAACAATTCTAAATTTGTCATCATTCCATCCCTCATGCTGCTCAAGTTCGAGAAGGATGATGGAACAGTCGGCTCCCTAAGGGGAGACCAGAAAATGGCACGAGAGTGTTACCTCTCGGATATTAAACCCACTGTGGTGACTGCTGGACCAAGTGGAGAGACAAAGGACCTTGAACAAATCAAGGAGGATGCGCCTGCCCAAGCAGCAGGCGGCAAGAAAAGAAAGGTTGCCCAA